ATCAACTTGCGGTCTTAGATTCTAAAAAAATTTCATGTTCTATGCTGTCCATAAGTGGTAAATAGTGCTAGCAAGTGCAATTAGATTTGTCTTACTTTACCAAAATATGTCTCGAGCCTCCTTTTTAATCCACTTCACTGCACTGAGTAGTGTAGAGATAGAGCGTCTAATGTCAGGCCACGCACGAATCTTCCCCCATACGGATGCACAGAACTGACATGTGAAAAAAGGTGTTGTTCAGTCTCCACCGTAACTCCACAAAAACTGCAATTTCGGTATATCTCCAAGTGCCTTAGTTTGTCTTTAGTTAACAACTTGGACTTAACTCCAAGCCATTGGATACAAGCATGCTTAGGGGTGACGAAAACATTCCAAACAGTTGCTGCCCGGACTGCCTTCGGACCCTTCAGTCTGAAATATTCATAAGTAGTCGCAATGCTGAAGCTGCCTGAGGCTGTCTCGCCAACCTGCCTGTTGCTGCCTGAACAGTATGTTCAGGGTGTGAAATCTGGTGACATATTTCTAACAGTCTTTTATTCCTCGTCGAATACTCTCAATTGTCTGTCCCACGTAAAAAAATCCGATTTACCCACTTTACCCAAAGAGTGTCCTTCTTGAAATGAATGTTCCAAAGAGTTTTAGCAAGGAGTGTCACGTTCCAACGTTTAATACCTCTAAACCCAAGCTCTTCCTAACGATTCGTCAAGCAAATACTACTCCAAGCAACTAATGGCTTCTTAGATCCCCAAAGGAAGATACGAAAAAGACTAACAATCTTTGATACAATCGTAACCGCAATAGAGAGAATGGAGAGCCAAAAACATTCGACACCTTGAAGAACGGCTCTCACTAGTTTCGATTTTCCCGTATAAGACAAGGATACCAGTGACCATGCTCCAATATAGGCCTAGATTTTGTTAATAAAAAGTCATAGAAACTAACTTTCAATTTTTCCACCGTAAGTGGTATTCCCAAATAACAAAATGACATAGAACTCTTGGCCATAGTATTTAATTGGTGAATATAACTCTTGTCTATGAATTCTCATTGTATACAAGTTGGACTTGTTCACATTCATCATTAATCCAGACACGTCTCCAAAGTTGGACAAGCACTCCATTAAGATACCAATTGAGATAATATCCTCCTAACAAATAACATCAAGTCATCCACAAATGGTAAGTGAGTTATCTTCAATTACTTTTACCCTTATGTGAAATGGACCATCGTGATTTGTAACAATATTACGTGATTAGTGAAAAACTTTGTAAATATTATAAACATTCTCCTATGACAAACATAATTCAAGTTTGTTTTCTACTCAAAGTACTCCTGTATTATGGCACACGCCAAGTCTTCTATTTATGCATTAATTAGGCTACTCAATTAAATTGAAACTTATAAATTGCTCAAACCCTTGTTTGATTTTAAATTTGTTGAGATGTAGTTATGCGAAAAGTGATTTTTTCGAAGAACGTGAGGTTAAAAAGTAAAGAAATTTTTAAATCTAAGTGAAAATTTATTTTATCAAATGAATATTTAGTTGAAAATGAATTTGAGAAAAAATTATTTTGAAACAATCAAAATCAAACAGTAATGTATAGCCCGTGTTGGATGAAAATTATAATCAGAATTTTAATTCAAGTCAAAGTAGATAATAATTTTGACCACATATTTCATGGGATCCACAATTGTTTGACCACATATAATTTCTATCAAAATCTACTGAAAGTATAATTTTAATCCCTCCAAATAATGACATAATATACTTTCATTGTATTCATGTTTTGTTTGCGTTACCTGGATGAAAGTGAAGAAATGTAGACTCCTTTTGGGATTTTCTTTTATTTTTAAAAAAATTATTTTTCTAAATGGTATATCAATTTTAATAATATAATTCGTAGGATTCTCAAGTACTACTCACACGTCAGTAACTCATTTCTTGAAAGTAGAATTATGATATTTGGGTCTATTAAATTTTAAAATAAAACCAAGATTAACAAGAATAAATCGAAGTCTCATTTTTCATAAATTCGAAATTGACAATATAAAATGAGTCTGGCATCGAGACCCAACACCGACAAGGACCAATTAGGTAACACTTCATTATTTTGAGGAGAACAAAGCGAAAAGTTTAATGGGGCCAAAAGGGAGCTTAGTCTCTTCTAGTCTCAATTATATGGATAAGACATGCATGTAGGGAAAAGAGTATTTGTTTGGAAATGAGTATTTGAAGTAAAAAATAATTTTTTTAAAAATGTGTAGTTAAAAAGTTGAGAAAATTATGGATTCAAATGCACAATTATATTATTGTGAAAATATATGGATTAAATAATTTTTTTCAAAAAATAAATAAATTGTGTCAAACAAACATAGATATTGCATTCAATATATTGCACGGTATGATTGAAAATGACAACATGGATTTGAAACAATCATGCTACATGTATATTATCTTTTACATTATTTTTCCAACCATGTTAAGCAAACAAGCTCGGTGATAGGGATTAAAAGCAAGGAGACACATGACGCAATATCGTAGGACAATTTGGAAAAAAAAATCTTAGCCACGTAGGTGCTGTCAATGCAACACTTGTCTCTGCCCCAGTTTGCAATCCCCGTTTTAGTAGCGTTATTCTTATTTTTTTTTTACATTATACCACGTGATAACACACTATTGAACAGTTGAAAAAAGATTTTTTCATCAATCAAATCTTGCCAACAATGATGATGTCGAGCATGATGTACAAGTGACGTTGTCTTATTTGAAAACTGGTGGTAGGTTAAATAATTGAGTGGCATAGTGTCCAAGGTATTAAAAAAAATTAAGACATAGTATGACTCTATTTTATTTTTTTCTAAATGCATTTTTAATTATTCATTCTTTCAATAAATAATTTTATACGTAAATTTCATAATTTTCACTATTTTTTAGTCATATATTCTTAAAAAAATATTTTTACAAAATTTATTCTAAAAAATTATTCAAATAGGGTCTAAGATTTTATTTATTTATTTATTTTAATACGATAGAATTAAAAAAAAAGGTATGAAGAGAAAACTTCACAATATGAGTCGAAAGAATAACATCTAGACATTTTAAGAATTTCTTGAAGTAGTATAGGTTTGCAAAAAATGAGACCTTTACAAAAAACCAAGCAAAACATCGAAATCACGGTTTGGAGCCCAAAGTAAATGTGAAGTGTTGACCTCGAAAAATGGCTGGGACACGTGGCCAACAGGATAGGTCTTCAAGTCAGCTCCTCCTGCACACTTAGCACGCCGTTAGTGGCTCGTGGCCTTTCCCAGCGGGGGTGGGAGCGGCCGCAAGTACTCGCCGGAAAGTGGTTGCTGACGGTGGAACACTCGCCGGACAGTGG